GGTTTTCGACGCAGAGAATTTTGGGGGCCAAATCCAGGTAGACTAGAAGGGTGTGTGAGCTCCGAGATGCAAAACCCTCAGCCGCACCATGATGTCTACTATAGCATAGAGAGTGAGTATCCAATAATACTCACTAAAGTAGTTTTAAAGCATACTAGTTTGGGCACAAGGTCCAACACTCGAGGATGGGCTAGTAGAACATATAGCAGTAGACTTGATAGCTTGAGCATGTCAACACTTTTATATGGCTCAGTTGTTAGTGTGGCACTGAGATAGTTAAACTCAGCGTTTGGAATTTGTTTCCTTACACAGGTTAGTCACGGAGTAGTCTGAGGACTTTTTGACAGCAGTGATACATACCCAATTAGTGCAGAGTACATCTCGAGTTCATCTTTAGAGGGCATGCATATTTGTAAACCTCGATTTGCATATTTTGTATGAGTCGTAACTCATTTTAAAACTATGGTTTATGATTTAAACATTATTTTGGGGCTCCTAATGTAAACTATTTTATTTAAATTGTAGTTGATTATTTTAGCATGAGTGGTTAAATGGTCATTTAAAAAATTAGTTAGCCACTCTGGTGGTTCCGTGTGACATTCTGATCGATCGATTGTGTGTCGTACTGGTTTAGGATGTTATAAGAATATCTTAGGTCGGGAATCATGTTTAAATAAGTGGTCAACTTCTATTTAGGGCAATATCAACTTTTTAGATACTCTTTAAATACCCTGTTTTAATTTGAATAAACCTATGAATTACCAAGTTTGTTATTTATGGAAGGTTTGCATTGCCGCCTTAATTGTCATATATCTTTCGGACTCGTATAATAATTGCATTCGTTGCCTTTCGAAAAGAAAGACTTGATGGTCAAGGGACTGGAATGCGTGCATCACAGTAATATACAGGAACAAGGTTTTATTAATTATCGAATCAATCAGTTGATATCCTCTTAAAACCTTCAAGCCTTGTACACGCTGGATTACTCTACGTAGGTTGGTTCAAACTTTAAGAGAATTTAAAAAATTATAGTAGTTTTTTAAAAAAAGACTTCGCTTCGGAATGACTTATTTTTAAAATAAAATTTTAAATTTACGCTAGATCTAAATATAAATAAAATGTTGATACATAGTTAAATAATTTATATAAGTAAATATTTGATTATCATTATTATACATATAATTGAAGGAATTTGAATCTTAGATAAAGTATGAAGTATTAGTGCACTGATCACCAGGTCAAGTCAACACATTTTTGGAAAAATTGTTGTATATTATTTAAGTAGAAAAACTATTACAGTGTTACAAAGTGTAAGGCTTCACCCACAAAATTTTAGGAGATATCTCAAGCTGTAGAAAGCCTAATATTTACAGGATCTAAACAATTTGTTCACTTCTGAATAGTCATATTATCATTTGATAACTTTAATAATCGATAGACTCAATAAATCAACACCTTATATTCAGAGGATCACTTTGTAACTTATAATAATCGGGGGATTTAATAAAGTAGCATCCTACAATTGAGTGACCATTTGTGTATTTTACCCTTTATTTTAATGATATATAGTACTAAACTATTAATTATGAAGCTTCAATTAAGAATTCGGTGTGGATTCTACACCTAAGCAACTTATTTTCTCAAAATGTTTTTTTTCGGGGGGGGGGGTAAATTTAGATATTTAGTTAATTGGATACTATACGTTGCCAACGCATGTATGTGTTTTAAATCTTTTAATTAAAAATTATTAGTTATTTACGAATAGGAGTTGGTTCTATTGTTAAGCAATTTGATATTAAGTTTCGAATTGAGTTTGTGTATGTAGAAAATTTTGTTGGAAGACTCACCTGCCAAAATCAGGTATGTGAAACTGATCGGTCCGAATTAATCAAGGCAAAATCCTAAAACTGGGAGGAAAAAAATTAAAAATTGTGAGTTATAAACTTACAAGGTAATGTCTTCCACCTTTTTTTTAGTAATTTTTTTTATATTTTTTGGAAGATGCATTAAGATACAAATTTAGATTTTAATGGCATTTATATTATTGTGTTTATATTTTTTTATATGAAATATGTACTCTTTTATTTAGAGTATTTTAAATTTATATATTTTTTTAATAAATTAACTATTAATTTTATATAAGTTTTAACGTGTTCATATTATTTTACATGTAGTAATATATTTTTTGTATGATTATCATAATAATTCAATATAGATAATTAACTGTGTTGTATCATATTCATATTGTGTCAACATACATCTCAACTTAGAAAAAAAATTATAATTTTATGCGTGTTTAACTTTAGCCTTCAGGTTTTGCATGGTTTGTTTGATCGTGTTAATGTTAATTTTGTATACGTTTAAATTAATAAATTATATTAAATTTTACACGTTATTTATTTTTTTATTTTGATATTTTTGTACTCTGTCACATTGTGTCTGTTTATTTTATTTTTTATGTGGTATATTTTAACTTACCAATTAATAGTTACTTACAGCATATATAAATCAAATTTTACATAAACTTTGATCCAATTTTCAGAAGGCTGAGGGCCATATTTTAATATTTAATTAAAATTGTGTGGCTCCGCAAGTTCATCAATATTTTCAAAGATATGAATTAATATGTTAGTTAGTAAGTAACCGGTTATTGCATTAATGAGGCTTTTAATGTGATAGACCAACTAGAAACTGTGAGCGCCCAATTTGAATTAATGATAATTAGGTTTGATTTACATTAATAGTACTTGTGAGTTAGATTTAATATTTTTGTATATATATTTAATTACAAATATATTTATGAAAAAAAGTTGAGCTGTGACGATTATTTACGGTTCATCTCTTTTAATTTGAGTAGAGAATCGCAGTCGGTTGTTCAATAAAGTAAAATATGGAGCATATGACTTGAAGACGACAATGAATAGTGGTCGAGAGAGAGAGAAAGTTCTTTTAGTATTGCATGAAGACTTGTATACTACCCTTAGTATTGATGTTATACCTAATGTTATGATTATTTATAGGTTAACTAACTAATATATGTAGTTATCAGATAATTATAAATGACATGAGTCTTTCGGTAGTCATGTCAAAGTGTTAATAGACGTCCGAAAGATACAAAACTTCACAAACTTTGGAGAACTCTAACATCTTAAAGAGCTCCAGAGATTTAAAGGAATGACAGTAGAAACGTGGCTGAAGAGATCCACATGCTAAGTTATTTTTAGGCATTTTTATGCAACACATTTGCTTCTAAACATGCCCAATGGTCATTCTAATTTATGCAAACACTTTTCAAACATTAACTCATTAAAAACGTCGTACAAACATGCTTGAAACATCAAATATAGCAAAAACTCGTGTTTTAGCTTCCTAAGTTCCGTTTAAGCACATTATACACCAAATTAAACTAGTTTTATCTCCATATCAACTTATGCTTCCTAAAGTGTCAAAACTCCATTAAAATGTACATTTAACAATGTTAGCAAGTTGTAACTACCATGATGAGTTGTTTCTACTAGTTTTTTAACAATATATATTCTATGCAAATTTTGACATGCTAAGCAAATGATGCACTTGACATGTACAAGAACATGTTATTCATAGACTAGTATGTCATTATGCATTCAAACTACTCGATTAAACTTATAATAAATATCTAGCAATGTTATTGAGATCCTTCCGTCAAATGAGCATACAAGTCTATTCCTATCACACTTGCATCTATATAATAAGTTCTATTATGCCACTCAATAACCATTGAAATAATAACTTTTAGTATTAAAAGAAATGAATTTTTAATTTCTCAATTAAATTGGTACTCACTTAACTCATGACACCAAACCAATACAATATTTTAATCAACATGATGATATACCCATTGAAGTAGATGAAACAAAATAATTTTAAAATAAAAAATATAATTTTAAAAGTGATATTATTTATAGTATATTTTGGTTTAAATAGTTATTTAAAAGCAAAAGAAATAAAAGAATAAATTTATTTAGTTCATTAAATATTTATTAATATTATGATAAGTATTAAGATTCAAATCTTACCCAGGATTTTTAAAATTATTTTATGTAATAAACTTTGTTATACTTCTTTAAGATATCTTCTCCTCCAATGACCAACATCTCCGAAATAAGAGGTCTTCAGAGGATCCTATTCATTGATCATAATGTTAGGGATTTCACAACCTCTATCTCAGTGGCGGATGTATGTAGAACTAGGGTGGGCATGTTAGTTGTTCATTATATTAAAAGTGTCTACTATGAAATTTATTTGTGTCCACCCCATACGAAATTTTTTGTCATACTAAATTTACTGTCAAACAATTATGTTCGTTCACTCTGCCAACCAACCAACCTATGAATAACAATCATGAACCAACTAATCCTAACACAAACATTGAAAGTCACTAAAACCCTCATAAAACATAACATCGAGAGAAGAACTCTTCTTTTTCTGCTACTTTTTCTCTCCCTCTAAAGAGAGAGCATACAGTAGCCCTCTAAAAATTTAAATTTGATATATTTAAATTAATATGTATTTTTTGGTTTGTCCCTTAAATTTAAGTTTACTCTCTAATATAAATTTATGTGTCCGTCCCTCACCATCTATTGTCTTAAACTAACTACAAATTACGATTTTTAGTTCAAATCTGGAAAAATTAATCGCCTATAACCACACAATTCAAAATATACCATCAACCTACTTAAATGTCAAAACTAACCTAAATCTTATTTAATAAATTATTAAAAATTTAAGATATTTTGTTGTAATTTATAATGATTTAATGCCCAATGAGACTGTGACACCAAACTTGGGACTTAATTTCTCAATAAATGATGAGAACAACCAGTGACACCATATTTCTACTAACACGGCGTAACCTACCTCCTCAATTCCACAACGACCCACGTTTTGGAAAATTGACTGTGACGTCTCAGCAGTTACCATTCGCAAGTCCTATAAATTGTGCCACAACTCATGCCCCAAAAGCACACAATACAATCTTGAGCAGGAAAAGAGAAGATGAAGATGGTTTCCTTTGTTGCCTTATGCGTGGTGGCACTGGCGGTGGTGACGCTTTCGGGTGAAATTTTCTCGGCGGAGGCAGTCACATGTGATCCCATGCAGCTTAACGCCTGCATACCGGCGTTCTCGTCGGGGGCGACTCCAACGGCCACATGTTGCGGCAAGCTGAAGCAGCAGCAGCCATGCTTTTGTACTTACATTAAGAACCCGGCTCTTAAACAGTATGTGAACAGCCCCAACGCTAAAAAAGTTGCTTCCACTTGCGGCGTCCCATTTCCTAAGTGTTAAATGTTGCTTAACTAGGGTATCTGCGATCTACCGACAGCAAAAAGAATCTGTTTTTGCTGTCTAAGTACTATTCTAAATAAAAGATTGATGAGCGGAAGGTATAAGATAAAATTAAGTAATGTTTTAGTTGTTTATAATAATATAATCATTAAAGTATCGATTAATATTTCTTGTGGAAATATGGCCAATTTGTTCTTGTTTTCATTTTTCAGCACTCTTAACGACTAAAATTTTTCAGAAATTAAAGGACAATTTCTTTCCCTTTCGGTACAATTCATTGAAGTGGAAAAAGACTAAAACTGTATCAATTAAGATTATTTCAAGGGTTGCGTTTGATTATTGATTTCAAAAAATATAAAATATGGTTATTTTCATTTTTATTTAATTAAGACGGTCACCCTGAGTTAATTGCCGTTAACAATAGTTAATTTTTTTTATAAAATCTCATATTTGATCCCTATTATTTACATATTCTTCTAATTTAGTTCTATTTTTAATAAATTAAAATAATTTTAATCTTCCGATCGAATGTTTTCACATGTCATGTCACGTGTCATTATTGGGTTAGAGGACTAACTTTATTTTAATTTAATATATTTATTTCAATCAATCAAAGAGTGACATGTGTCACTCTCTGGTTGAAAGAAAACAAAGGAAAGCAAATTGGGGCAAAAAAAAAATCAAACATCGATCACTTAGGAAACTAAACATGTATCCAACCATTAAGCCAAAATTATTGTTTGGTCTAAAGAAGACAACATGATATATATATATATATATATTTATCTTAGTTTATAAATACTTAAATTTATAATATTATATATATATTAACTTAAAAAGTATTTTTTTTATTAACTTTTATTTTTTATTAACTTATTTAAAATATTTTATTTTTATTTTTATTTTCATTTAAAAATATATATTTTATGTTAAAATTTATTAAAAGTATGACTAAATTAAGAGAATATATAAATAACAGGGATCAAATATGTGATTATATCAACTATCACGTCACATATTATGTTAGTTGTTAACAATAGTTAACATGTGATAACCACGTCTTAATTAAATAAAAATGAAAGTGATAAAATCTTAATTAAATAAAAACGTAAAATGATTGTATCTTATTTTATTTTAAAACCAATGACTAAAAGTGGATAAAACACAAACATAAATGATAATCCATGTTATTAACCCTTATTTCAATTGGGAAAGTTCCATTTCTTCGTAACACATTGATGAGTCAATGTCAAGCCATCGGGATAAAAGTTCATGGTGTGCGGAGTTTGGCGGTGCACTATTGCTAGTAAACATTACTTGAATTTTTATCCCATACTACTATGATTAAACTTGGAGAAAAAGAAGAAGACAATCCTAGAGTTGTAGGGGGCAGATGGCTTTGATGAATACCAAGCGCAAGAGAATTTGTTTAACCAATCTCGAGTGATTATGCGATAGTATATATTCGAAATTCTCTTAATTAATTAACAATAAATAAATGCGTACACAAGAATACGACTCGATTGCTTGAATCTAAAACTTTAAAAAAAATAAAAATAACATTTCATTTAACTACTAAAACCACTTAATTTATCTTACACATAATTAATTTAAAGTGAATAGAATTGGTCAAACATCAATGCAAGCTTTTGGAACAACAAATACTATTCATATGACTTTTCTAAAAGAAGAAAAGTATGGTTTCTTCTTCTTTTTCATTAAAAGCAACTCTCTAACAACTAAAATTTGTGGACAATTCTCCCCCTTTCAACACAATTCATAGAAGTATGTGCAATCACCATTTTTTCCATTAAACCCCAAACCCAAATAAAAATCAAAACCCAACAATTGGACCCAAACTGAACCAATACCCAAAACCCAAAATACAACCCAGGCAGCCCCAGACTCGACCCGAACACCCACCGGCCAACCCACCAATCAACACACAGTGTTATCTGTTCCAATACCGGCCAAAGCCATCCCGTGCACGCCATCATCTCCACGTCTGCAGAAGACAAAAAAGCAAGAAAAAAAAAAGCAGTTTGAATCATTTCTATTTTTCTGTAAGATGGGTATAAGAACCCGATTGTAAATCATATGTAGGGGTCGGTTAGAGATCCAAAAAAAGCAGTGTAACCACTCTCGGTTTTGAGAGCTCCAAAAGCAATAAACAAGGTTCTTTTTCCTTTCATTTTTCGAATAGCCTTTTATTGATCTTAGTTTCGAACCTCAATAAAAAAAAGGGTAAAATTAGTTTCGAACAAGGTTCTTTTTATTACGCTCAACAACCTATGAAACAAATACATCGAATTTTAAATAAAAAACATTAGGCATAATATTAAAATTAGCCCCTAATGTTTAATAACATGGTCATTTTGATCCCTGTTCTTTTTTGGGAACACTTTGGATCTATCATTTTATTTTAAGGCGAAAGAGTTATTAATGTTTGACCAAATAATCTCTTGGCCTTTATTCTTTTTTTGTGGAGTATTTTGGCCCCCCAAAGTTTTATTTTAGGGTAAAAGGCCCCTATTTTGGAGCATTATCCATTTGTTAGGTTTCCATTCACATAAGGGAATTTTTGCCCCAAAATGAAACACTTGGGAGCCAAAATGCTCTAAAAATGAATAGGATCTAATGTGACTATCTGTTCAAACGTTATGAACGTTTTTTGATATTATGCCAAACAAAAAGATTTTTTATTAAACTCTCAACTATTCATAAAAAAAAAGCATATCCCCTTTTAATATAGTCATGGTTATATTTCAACCATTCATCTTGTCAAAAAATAATAAAACATTATTAGATGGAAATTAAAGAAATAATTTAAAAAATGTCATGCTAGTATGATCGTTAATTTTCTAACAACGGGTGACTAAAACAGAATTAAAACTTAATATTAAGTATAACTTTAAAAAATAATAATTGAATGATTAAAATAAAATAAAAATAATAGATGGATGATTGAATAGATAATTTATTCTTTTTTAATTACACGTGAATTTCTCAAAGTTGGTACAAGTCCATTGGGACAGACTGTGGTAGTTTATAGAATTACTTGTAATTGCCCAATAGAAGTTCTCTCATGAAATGCCACGATGTGTGGTGCTCCATATCGCATGGAACCTACTAAATTAGAGGATTTGAAGATTTACTTACAAAAACTATTTGATCGATGATTCATTCGACCCAGCATTTTATCAATGAGATCTCTCGTTTTTTTGTTGTAAAGAAAAAGAATGAGTCACTGTAGATTTGTATTGGTTATAAACAGCTTAATAACGTAACAATCAAGAACATGTACCCACTTTCACAAATTGTTGGATTATTCAACCAATTGAAGGTGTTGTAATGTTTTTAATGTTACAAGTATAATAATTTGAGACAATAAAATGAAAAGGAGTTTTTTAATAATTAAAATAAAAACAATATAAAAATAAATACTTGATTTCAAATAGATCAAATGATTGGAAACGAGTTGAGGCTAATAGCTATGTAGTTTTCTTAAGACAGATTTTCGACAACTCCTTGATGCTTGAGATCATCAGTCGTCTGTCTCTCATGATACAACAACTAGATGATCAGCTACAGTAGCACAAATGTAGAGATCAGGAACACCCCCAGAGGCCCTAACTGCGCTTATCACTGAAAATTAGAGGAGAAAGAAGAAAATTTTTCAAGTTGTGTTTAATCTAGAAGGTTTGCACGATATTTATATGAGTTTCACATGGGAGAATAATTGAAAATAATATTTTTGAAATTAAGGTATTTTAATCAAATATAAATTTGAGAACTACACGACATTATCCTATTAATATATGAATTTAAAGAAATCATAAAATATCATTTTAGTTCAAAATATTCAAAAAAAAAAGATATGTTATATTTAAAAAAATTAATTCAAAGTGGACAAAAAATATATCTAACGGGCCTACAACTAGTTTAAACATTCATGTCACTCATGTCATGCATTTTATACAAGTGCACCCATAACCTTGATGGGTTTGACGAACTTCGATTTGTAAAATCATATGTTTATGCGTAAGGCATAATCTTAACTCAAATAATTTAATGAGTTGATTTATATAAATATTTCTCATGCTTACTATCATGATATATGAGGGGATTTTTTTTTTCATTTTTCTTACATAATTCACAAGTAATCTACTTTGAGAATCAATATCTCATTCATCACTCAACCGTTTTGAGCATATGAGATATCATCGTAAATGTCTCATGGAGTAGAATATGAATCAATAAATTCATCATTTAAATCTCTACCTTTACCTATAAAAAATTTAGCTCAAAGATTTACATTTTTCAACATTCAAAGATTGACTTGAGATATGAATATTATCGAAAATGCTCTCGGATTAATTCGTAATCGTCTTCATTTATGACATTTTTGTATACTCTAAAAATAAGGATGATCATGATAAATGTCTATGAACTATTCTGCAAACTCTCTAAGAAAACAAACTTAGTAAACACGAGTTTTGATTATCCGAATAACCTTTCTAGGCCATATTATTTCTGTTAAGATAATTTTCATCTATTTAAAAAAGATTCAAGCCATCATTAAATGGAAATCGCCCAAAAAAATCATATAAATTAGATATTTCTTTGGGCTAGGTAAATATTATCGAAGTTTTGTCAAAGGATTTTCGATAATCATTATGTTATAGCTAAGTTGTTGCAAAAGGAATACTAATTACTTAGAATGAGGGAAAACCAATAGAGTTTTGATCACTTAGAAGAAATTCTCACCAGCACCTCAATCTTTATCAAATATGAATGTATGTTTTCAACCAACGTTTCGAATACATAAAGGTAAGGTGATAATGTATGTTTTCTAACAATTGAAACTTGGAAAGAAGAATTACTCGCCTCATAACTTCGAATTGGTTACGATGTTTTTTTTCTTTCGACATTTAATTTGTCATGCATTGTAACATTTTGGAATGGAAAGTTTTCCTAAAACAAAAGAGTAAATTGTTTACTCATTCCCAAAAAAAAAAAATTAAACAAGCATGGTCACTTAAACCTGAAAAATTCATGATTATCAAGTAGCACAACTGCCCAGCATCATGATTTTAAAAGTCCAAATAAGATATGAATATAATGAATTAATGTATGCAAATATAAATAAAAATTTGGTCCCTATCCATACTATTATTTATATGCAATAAATATAACATTCTGGTAAAAAATTTCTTGTAATAAATTCAAATTTTAGATTTTTTCATGGTATATAATAATTAGAATTTAAAGCTTAGTATTTGACAATTTTAAATTTTGAGTCACAATAATTATGATATTAGTTTTCTGCCGTTGTAAAAGAAGTTATACATACTCCCAACGAATTGTATAAATGAAAAGGCAATAAAATAAAATATTTGGATATGATTATTACTTATAGTGCTCTTCTACTTATAATAAATTATAAATTTAGTTTTTTTTATATTTTAAAATTTTCATAGGTTCCGGTGATGATTATTAAATATATTATATAAAATTTTACTAACTATGTATTATACACAAAGTAAATATTTTAATATTAGTTTTCAATTCAAAATTTTTAAATTTATATATCATTTAAAAGAATTTAAAATTAAAAAAAATCATTAAAATTACAAATGAATCATCATCGGTGTGTATGAGGGGGGTTAAAGTTCTTAATTTCCCAATATCTTTGTCTTCATGATTTCTAGCACTTCTTAATGACCATTTACCCCACCTTCTATTCCCATAAATTCATGCAGAATAATAATTTTGCCCCTCAAATCTAATCAAATTAGTGAACTTATTCAGTTATCTAAGTACTTAAAATAAAGTATTATTCTTTTTTTTAAGATTTTAAATTCTAACAACTATATCTATAAAGTATGTGTATGCTATTAATAATTAAGAAAAAATTATAGACATATAGTATCTTATAAACTAGTAAAATGGTTAACCATACATGAGATATTGAACTATCAAATTAAATTGATTTTTATGAGTAATTTATTAAATAAAAATTATTTTTAAAATTATATATATATAACCTCACTAGAAAAATATCATAAGATAAATGTTGAATTTTTTTAGAAAAAGAATATTTATCAGTCATGCATTTTATTCAGAGAAAAGGTTTATACTTTGTATTAAGGTTTTATGATAATTTAAAAGAAAGAAAACATTGTATTTACCTTTTATTTATTTATTTTACTAAATCTAAAAAGAAAGGCGCTTTATTCCATCTTGATGTGATTTACAGTTATTCCAAAACCGGTGGCACGCTGAATTTAGCATCATCGACGATACAAGCGCATGTTAGCATAGTGTATTCTCCATATCAAAACCAACAGATTTCAATTCCATTTTATAGTAATCAATCCAATTTAGTTCAACGAAAATATAAAACAAAAGTGGGGAAGAAAGCACCAGAAATTCAATTATAAAAAGGCTACATCTTTTTGCAATTATTAATTTTAATTCAAAGTTATCAAAATATATGTAGTTTAATTTTACTCTGAAATAGTGACCAGCATCGGTCGCCAAGCTCTCCTTAATAACCTGTACCGGAACGACGCCGTTACAGTTCTCACGGAACCGGAGCCCCGACTTGAAAGTACTTCACCTGAACCAACGGTAACCGGTAACAGATCTTCGTTTTTTTCTTCACAGCTTTTACCGTTACCCTTTCTTTCTTCAAACGGCGGCGACGCCACGAAGAGTTCCTTTAATTTTCGCCTGCCTTTTTTCCCGTTGGGTTTTTTATTGCTGTCGGACTTGGAGGTAGTTGGCGTAGCAGGAGGTGGAGGAGGAAGATCGAAGTTGCTTTCTTCGTGATCTCGGTAACAACGACGGCGACCGGTGGCGGAAGAGCGGTTGAGGAGCATGCGAAGGGTTTTGCGACGGTGGAGATGGACAACGGGGCTGGTTGTAGGACTACGACCCGGGCTGGAGGCGACGGCGCACTGAGTTGCCAGAAGCTTGAATCTGTGAAGACTCGCCATTTTCAAGCTCGGTGGAATCAGAGATTGAAAAATAGAAAAATAAAAATAAGAAGAGTGAGATCTAAGGACAGAGAAAAGGGAAACAGTTATGTATCCATAATTTATTTCTGAATTTATATTTTATAAAATTAAAAAAATGAAAGAATATAATTCTATGATAATAAGAAAAAGTGGAAATGTATAGTGGGAAGGTGATTATCTCCATATGTTTGGGCCTTTTTGGTAAATTCATACGACACGTGGGAGTCAATGAGGGGTTTTGGAATTTTTAAGCTGTGGACGGAACTAAATCAGACAAAAATGTTGACATGGTTTGGAAGAAGGGTTGGACTTGTAGAATAAATACAAATAAAATGTTGGGGTCTTATTTTCTTAACTTGCTAATCTTCCAACCCATTCGACGGTTCTAATAGTTCAAAAACAATATTTTTTTTTAAAATTTCGAGTTTGAACAATTGTATTTATAAAACGTTTATATATTATTACTATCTTAAAAAGATTTTAAATAAGCTAATTGTATTTAAAAATTTAAAACTTAGATAACTACGATATCTAACGTTAATTATGAAAAATAGGAGATCCACATGCTGAGCAAATGATTCTTCTCGGCCATGCCCAAATGCTTTTTTCTCGAATAATGGGTCTAACTCCAAGGCCTCAAATAAATGGTTGCTAAATTTTGAAAGGCTTATTGCCTTAATTGGAGCCCATTGAGTAATAGATAATTGCCTAAATGGTTTTAGGATTTTCATCGAGAGTCCACGATAAAATTACATCAACATTATGTTGATCGACAAAGCTTCCTTCTTGTCATTCAACATCAAAGATGGTCTTCTACGCGTAAATAAGGAGGGGTGAATTTCTAAAATTTTAAAAAACTTTTAAGAGATAATAAATTTATAAATTTTTTAAAATATAAAGAAAATATTTACAAAACATATTGATTTAAAATTTTCAAGGCAACTCTCCACCCACCCTTTCAATTCATCCCTACGAATAAGAAGTAAGATCAGAAAACAAAAGGTCTCAGCCGGAGCATTCAAATCAGATTGAGTATATTCCAAATCAGCATAAACAACACCATATGTACAACACCTCGAAAATTGGTTTGAAATTTTTGAAGATTAATAGAAAATGTTGCATGTGCATTAACAGACTTTTAATGACTAATGAGATCGATCGTACGTGATTCTAATTATTATTGTGAGAGATAAAACTATGCTTTAGAGATTTTATGTTCTTAATATATATAATTATAGGTTCATTACTTAAGATATAAAAAATATTTTTAAAAAATGAACCTAGGATTCTTATGGTAAAATATATATAAAAACTCAAAAAGTAAATTTAAATACTTGATAATCAAACTAATAACTTTATTGTCGATTTTGGGTTACAATAATATTAATACTTAGGATGATTCTTCTACGCTCGACGAGTATCCTCGCTAACAAGGAACATTACTAAATTAATTTATAAAAATTTTAAATTTTAAAGAACTCAACGTATAATTATATATTAGTTAAAAAATTAAAAGTAAATTAGTTAAAATAAGATATTTATTATATTATTTTCCATAGTCTTTATTGGGTAAACTATAACAGTGAACACCTAACTATTGCCCCTTTTCATTTTGACAACAATTTTTGAAATTTTGTCAATTAGGTCACTAAACTATTTAAATGCATTCAATCAAGCCACTTGTCATTAACAATTAATAGAAGTACTAACGTGGCAATTAATAAGATTTGTATAATTACACATTTAGTCCTTATTACTTACACAATCTATCAAATTGGTCATAGTTTTAAATTAATTAAATATATTTTGTCCTCCAATCATATAACTTCAAATATTTATATAGTAATATTAACAAATGATACACATAGAATTATAATTTGATGATTTTATCATGTCAATTGTCTAATGTCTAAATAGATTTTTAAAAATAAAATTTTTATTCAAATAATATCAATTAATTGTTAGAAGTTCATCAATGATAAAAATAATAATATTTTAGTTACTCTTTTTAAAGAAAATTTCAAAAATATATCTTAATAAATATCAAAATTGTAACATGATCTATATGAGACGTATAGATATAGATATAAAACAATATTAAATAAAAAATCAAAATAATAGAAAATATTATAAGTACATTTACTCAAAAAAATACCACGTGAAACTTGGTTTATTGTATACATACCGATATCAACAACTACAAAATCATCTCAAACATGTTTCGTTGTTGATCCACCGGTTTTTTTTATTTCCCTTATTTATTTTAAATTATCAAATTATAATTAAAAAATGTGAAGTTATATGATTGGAGGATAATTCTTTATGTATCATTTGTTAATATTACAATATAAAAGATTTGAAGTTATATGATTTGAAAATAAAATATATTGAATTAATTTTAAAATATGACCAGTTTGATAGATTGTGTAAGTAATAAGGATTAAATGTGTAATTATACAAATTTTATTAACTACCAGATTAACACTTCCGTTAATTGTTAATGGTAAGTGGCTTGATTAAATGCATTTAAATAGTATAATGACATGGTTGAAAAAAATTAAAAACGATTGTCAAAAAAACGGGCAATAGTTAGGTGGTCACTGTTATAGTTTATCCAAAAAAGATCATGGTAAATTATATAATTTTTTTTAACTAATTTACCTTTAAAATTTTAACTAATTTATAATTATATGTTAAGTATTTTAGAATTTTAAATTTGTATGTATTAAATTAATGATGCGTACTCAGCACTCTACGTTGAGCATGCAAAATTTTCATAATACTTAATAGTCAATTAATTAAAAATAATTAAAATATTTATTGAATATGGATTAGCTAGGTACGTGTCCCCAAACCTTTTGACACATTACTTTACATCCACGTCACAAATCTTGTAATAAACACGGCCATTAACCGACTACGAAGTTACCGATCATTTTGTGTGTTAATTATTTAAGCAGCCCTCTTTTCCTATGTTTAACGCACGATTATAGGAAAGCGTGCATGTTTCATGCATGCCTAGTCATTCCCACACAGATGGCTTAAAGGTTTGTGTCAAAAGTCAAAACTTAAACAACCTCTAAGTCACGTTTCCTGTTTATCTTATTGTAAATTGAAATCTCCGATTACTGCTTTTCGAGGCCCTCCTCGTGGATCCAACGGATTATTTTTATTAATACGAGAGGATTATAAGATGATATCTATTCGAAATATATTCAATTATTTGATGATAAACACTCAAACATTCTTATAGATGATCTGCACGAACATAAAACCTCGTAGAATAACAACCATCTCTTTAACCACTAAAACAACTTAATTCGTGGATTCAACGGCTTTGATTTAATAAAAACAGCATTTAAATAATCAAATACTTCCTCATTATTTAAGCTCAGACCCGGTTCAAAGCTGCCCTTTCATTTAATTATTTTTATTTTTTGTTTTAGAATAAAGAAGCATATATATATATATATTGTTTTTCTAATAGTTTAGGGTGATTACAAGATAATATACGTTCAAAGTTTTTTTAAATTATTAACAATATAAATTGCAAAATTGAAAACTATTATGGTGGTCATACTGATGAGGGAGATGATGGGGGAATCTAAAGAATTTTGAATTAGTATCCACTGATGTCGAGAATAAAGAAAATTTGGAAATGGTGGATCATAATTAGATAGTAAATCATAGGGATCAAAATGTAAAAATAAGGAAATTTTATGCAAATAACAAAGAAAATATGGGTTAATGTCTAATTTTAGAAATGTGGATTCAAATGGAACCAAAGACAGATTGGTGAGTATTCAATGCACGTAGAAGATGGAAATCAAAGGCATATTGGGAATGTAGTATTTCGTCTAAGATTTAAAATGGAATCTTCGCCGTAAAATTAATTTTTGTGTACTAATAATTACACAGACGATGTCTAATTGAAGCGACTTTTTCTTTCCCAACAAAAACAATTAATGAATATAGACGAAATTAAGCTACCCGGGACTCGATAGAGTAAATGACAAATTCACAAGAAAAGAATCAAATAAGACAAAACACAGGGACCACATCAGACGAAACAAACCCAGGTTTCCTGTGAGTCCCCAGGCAGACATAACAGACCCAGGTTTCCTGTGAATTGACAACAAAAACAGATGCTACCCTCACCGGAAGAACCCCAACAACTAGCACCCATTGTCATTTACGATGCCATTTAGTTTCCTTTCCATAACTTCAGAGCAGATCTGCCCCATCATGTGGTAGAACGACATTAGATCAGACAGCTGCTCGACCGACATCTTCCCCATTACATTTCTCGCCAGCTTTTCCCTTTCTTCATTTAACTTTAGTTTTTCGATGTAATGGCTTCCGTTTCTCACCGTTGCTCCCATCTGCTTCAGCCTATTCTCTTGCTGCACGCTAAGCGCTGTGTTTGACTGCAAAAACAAACCATCTCACTCAATCACCACCATCACATATACATTATTAATATTCGCTGCTTAACTTCTATTCAGTTTTCACGCAAATTATCCAGGAGAGTCTAAGATACAACTAGGTAATGTAAGATTAAAAAATAACAGCCTAGAATCGGTTAATATAAGTGTGTAATTCTTTAAAGTAAGAGGATACATTTTAGTTGAAACCTAATAACAAATTATGTAAATTACGTAACTATAATTATGATTACAATATAAAAAGTTATCATCAAGAAACTCATAGAATTCTCAAATATAACATTCTCAATTGTAATTGAAATTATTATCAATTTTCTAATTTTTAGAATAAACAAATGAACATTTTATGTTAAAATTCTAAAACAGAACTACGGAATTATCCAATATTATGAGTATCTAAATCTTAGACCCAAGATTAACCAGCTAAGTAATCTAGAAAGGAAAACTCTTTGAATATATACCTCCAAAAATTCAGCACCAGCTTCAAGTTCAGATTCTTTAGAAGGATGCATCTCGTTTCCAGCAGTGTATAAATTCTTTGCAAGTGAGAAGCTTCGGACTATGACTTTCCTCTTGTTCTCCATTTCCTTGTTAAGCTTCAATGGCTTTCGCAATGAGGTGGAGCTATTAA